GATGAGGAAAATGGGCGCCTGCCTTTGGAGGTCTGGGGAGGCCCACCGACCTGTGCCCGGGGTCCTGATGCGGGGCCGGGGGTGGGGGTGAGGGGAACGCCGATCCTCCTCCTTTAGGGGTTTGTACGAAACGGGGGGCCTGGTGGAGTCATATCTTTCCAACTGGGGCTCTGAGGGGTTCGCGCGATTCTGCCCTCGAGGGTGGTGGGAAGGAGGCAAGGGTTGTGTGTGCCCATCTCTTGGGAACGCACCGGAGTGTGGGAAGTCCAGGGCTGTCCACTCAGAGGTAGAGGTGGGGGCCATAATCCTACCCTCCCGGGTTGGGGGTTGGGGTGACAGGGCGCCCTGGCCTTTGGTGTCTGGGGGAAACAGTACTACTCTCGAGAGCAGCAATTTTCAACCGTGAGCAGCAGGAAGCACACTGCTGTGCCCTAAGAATTCTTAAAACATGCACTACCTGACTATTCAATAGGGGGCACTGGCCTCTTTTTCACTAGATTGTAAAACAACAACCAACCAACCAACCAAAGACAACAGTCAGCACAACCATAGCCGCCCGGGGTAAATGAATCAAAATTACTCCAATATGTTTTTTGTTTTTTTGCCAGGTGGGCAGAATATATAATATAGTTTTTGTTGTGCCCCAGAACGTTAGTAATGATGCGTGTCCTGAGATGAAAAAGGTTGAAACCGTTGCTCCAGGGAAACACATTGCCATTGGGAGTCAGGGGGGCACCTGGCCTTGCCCTGTAGGGTTGGGGGAGACTCAGTCTTGACCTGGGGAGCTCTGGGTCATTCGTTCATGCATCCATTCGTTCATTCTGTAGGTATTTATGGATCACTTACTAAGTGCTAAGCATGCAGGCACCACGGATACTGCCTTGGTGGAGACCCCAGCCAAGTGGTTTTGGTGGGCACCAATCAAATCATCCCAAATGACTGTAAAATTGGTCTTTTAAAGACGAGTATGGTGCTCTCTCTCCAGATAGGAGCTGGTCACATCTCCGCGCCTTTGTAAAATCCATTCTCTGGCCGCCTCACAATCCCAATTTCGCTCAGTCTTCTCGAAAGACATTGCAGGAGAAGCCCACGCACGTCGGGGCAGGGCTCTGGGGCGGCTCAGAATTGTTTAGGTGCTGGGACCCCAGAGCCAGCGGAGGAGAGTAGGAACGGGGAGGAGGGGTTGGATTGGGGGCCTCCGTCCAGAGCAAGGAGCCCTGGCGGCGGGCAGTGGGCGGGGCAGTGGAGGAAGGAGCCGGGCAGCGGCGGAGCCTTTGCACGCTTCCGAGAGGCCTCCCGGAGCCCCGCCTCCGGTCTGGCAACCAGCGTGTGGCTGCACTTCTGGGCGGGGCTACGGCAGGCGGGGCTTTGAGTGGAAAGGCCCTTTGGTGGTGGCTGTGACCCCTGTTATAGGTGGTTTCGTCGAGGCAGGGGCGGGCCTTCAGGAAGACTCGCCTTCTGGTTGGCTACGGCGGGGCTGGGCGGGACTTTGGGGAGAAGGGGCGTGGCCGTCCCGCCGGGCGGTGGGCAGTGGGCGGTGCTTAGGCTTGGAGGGCAAAGGTCCGGTGTCGCGGTTTCGCTGGCGACCGTCTTTTGGTTCGGGCCCTCGGTACCGGGCCGGGTGAGGGGTCTATGGGTCCGAGCGGCGCGATGCGGAGACTGCAGGTGGTGCTGGGCCACCTGAACGGCCGGCCCGACTCGGGCTCGAAGCCTGCGCTGCAGGCCGCGCCGT